AGTATAACGAGTTCTGACCAGAAAGCATAATGAATAAAAAAAAAACTCAATTTGATTCAATTCCAACAGGTAATATTCTTCATCATTCTAAGTTAAATATTTTCGCATATCGCATAAAACTTCACTCAGGTTTTTATATAACTCTAACTAAATTGATAGATTCAGAGCAATTCGGAAGCTTCAAAGTAGAAGGATATGAGTAGGAGTCTGTATGCGTATATCGATGTTGTAGGGGCTGTGGACGTGGCTGCTATTCTATATCTGAGTATGGATACGAATAGAAGGGTAGGTGAAGACTAATGCCTCATTTCCACATAAAAAGAATATGCTTTCGATAATATAATGAATTGTCCGATTCAACTCAACCCATTCAAGAACAGAAGATGCATATTTCATTTTTAAGATAACCAAGGATTTGTATTCCTTCAGTTGAATGCATAAAAATGAATTTTAGCTATATATCATCGACATTTAATGTTGACCTTTCCTTGTCCTTACTTTGTGTCGAGATAATTGGGCAAGTAGCGCCATGTTTAATGGTTTTTTCCAAACAAGAATCAACCTTCACGTTTCTAAATTCTTCAGATATGAACTAGATCTCAATATTATTAGAAGAGCTCTATAAAACTATATTATCCTGTTCTATATTGTATTTTTTGCATATCAAATAATAAACTCATAAAAAGATGCCAAATATATGAGAATCTAAGGAGTAATTGAAAGTCTTTAGAATCTAATCAAGTCCAAAAGACTTCTAACATTCAAGATCTTTTCAGCGCTGCGCGCTCTTTTCCTACTACTATTGAAGGTCATATGCTCGTTAGCTTCTTATTTGGTGTGAGATGTTTAAAAAATATATAATAGATGAATTATATTCATATTTACCTTAGGTGTTGTGGTGCTCATCCAATCACTTTCTCTGCGATTTGAAATAAAGTTTTAATTGCTGCGATGATTTTAGTTTCTTTTGTAGATATATAGTAAAAGGCCAATAGTGTTGACGGGGTCCCTTATTTTTGCTTTGAAGAAAATGCCAAGCCAAAAGAGAACACAATTTATTGGATTTAAACTTCAAGAATGACTCATCGCATCAAATATTTCTGTATTTTTCAGTAGTTGATATTGATAAAAACCTTGGGAAGAAAAATGGTGACATGTCGACAAAACGTAAGAGATGAAAATCAAAGTTTCACATGACGTTTCATCCTTCTTTAAATGACTCATCAATTCGTAAGCAGAAAAATATCCTCAATAGTTACGTTTTTTTATTGTGTTAAGGTGATGCAATTAAGCTGACTTCGAAAACGTTTATTGCTGATGAACCAGTTAAGTGAGTAAAATTAACTAGGTCATCCAGTTAACTGGTACCATTCAATCAGTTTCACACTGGAACTGGATCATACCTAACCCACACCCAACCTCAACTGATACATAGTTAAGATATATATATGAAAAGTTTTAAAATTGATCAATCATCTCATTATATAGCTTTCTTTTCCTTTCTTTGAGGAAAGGAAAATGAAAGTGCCACCCCTATGATATAATGAAAGAAATTTGATATGAAAAGAAAACGAATTCCATCCTCTACTCGCCTGATCTACTTTTGAATATCGAAGCTTGGTTGAGAGTTACCAATATCCTTCATCATGATTTTTCAAACAATGAAATCATTTTTTGAGCTACAGTTCAGTTGTCGAGTCCTTATTTGAGCATCAAAAATGCAGATTCTTTTCCTCTATAAGGCTATGTGATTGATGAAACGCAATGCAACATGTTTTCAAAGAAATTCACGGAAAATTGAGCAGACAGTATAATGATTATAAAATTTTGTTCTATTTTTTTCATGTATTGTGTTCTAAATTTTTACATGACTTTGTCCTATAAAATTTTCAAAGAGGGAGGATTTCATGAACACTCTTTTCGTTTATCGTTAGTTCGACAGTAAGAATATAAAGTGTACATCAGTATGTTGGTTGCGTTGAACTTAAAAAAAAACAATTCTTTGTAAAATTGAGTATATTATATGAATAGTTGAAAAATGGCATTGATAATTAGTCAGATTCATTATGACCTATCATTTATTTTAGTGAGCTCGTTTTATTTCTTTACGCACTGAAAAATAAATTTTTTTACAAAACAATGTAATAAAATATAATTATAAGAAGTTTCCAAATGATTAAAGGTTGAACGATAAATAATTATGATTGAAAGAGAATAGGAATACCGTGTTTGAATGACTAACGAACTTGATTTATTTATTATGAACGATTAAAATTCTACAAAGAGAGCAAAACACCCGTGGTGCAGTTTTGTATCGTTTGTATGTTATTTTGTTGAAACAGTTTTTGAAATATAACAAATGTAATAGAATAGGAAGCATTTGACGCTAGAGACAAACGTACAGATTTTTAGAGACATGAATTCAATCAATTATTACCGATTCATTCATAATAAACAATTTAGTAACTAGAATGAATTTATTGAATATCGTGTTGAAAATGTATTTGATAGAGGTTTATTATTAGCTTAAAAATAATAAACTGTTGAAAAAGAAATAATGTTTCGAGCTTCATACCATTTTCAGCACATTTGTAATAATTCTTTAATGGCGAGATAACGAGACATTAAAGAAGATTCATGTAGGCTCGACTTATCTTTTTATTTTAATTATCTTTCTATTATTTCAATGTAGCGCTCGTTTCTGATTTATGTTCATTATCATGTGTAGCTAAGTTGTTATTTCATTATTATCTTCTCGTGCTTTAATTCAATGACAAGCTATTCATATAATCCTGCTTAATTTGTTAAAACTTCAACATTTATTCAAGTTAAACTTTTCAATAAAACTTTTCACTCAATGTCACCATCTAAATTTTNAGAAGACCAAATGTATCAAAAATAACAAACAATAATCAAGTTGCAAAGATGTCTCGTAAACATCTTCGTGATTCATTAGCTGAAATAGGCATTTTAATTCCACCCGGCATCAAAACTGATGTATTACGTCTATTATATGAAACTAATATTATCGAAGACCAAAAGAAAAAGAAGAATAAACTTCCAATTGCATCAGGAATGGCTAAAGCTCATCATGATCGACATGCTGCTTCTGTTGATGATTCTTCGGATGATGATACACATCTAATTGATGATATTAATGTTAATTATAACAAAATGAATCCAGCTGCTATACAAGATGAAGAAGAAGATCATATTATGGCTCGTAAACAAAAAATATCAAATGAATTTGCTCAT